AACAGAATTTGGCCTTTAAAACAAGTTTCACATTTGGGGAATAACTATGTTAGTGTCATACTTCGCTGGTTCAAGAAACATCCAGTCATTTTTGTCTTGGTATTCTTTGATGAACAAACAGCTGCATGATGCTACATTTGAGATAGTTGACAACCAGAGGAGAAGAGGGAAAAGACAGGAAGAATGTTCAAAAGGACTGCAGAGATATGTACTGGGGCAAATTTCTGAAACTAACCTATACACTCAGACAAATGAACACCATTAAGAAGCCATGCAAGAATCCGAGTAGGTGTAATTCTTTAAATAATACAAATAAAAAGTTCTAAAGTTCTGTATCATTAGTAAAATCCCCCCAAAACCATATTATATCTCATTTACCATTAGGCATATCTTTAAAAATATTTTATAGTGTTGTTTGCTTATATAGCTGTGAAAGGATAAAGAAATAAACTATAAACAGGTAAAATTAACTTTGAAATACCTTTAAATAAAATAATAAAAGCCATACTTGTACTTTGGAGATTTCCATGTAATAAACAATATTTAATGCTCAATAATAAGTATTTCTCTTGCAGGACTATGCTGGTGTCAGGGCCAAGGGAAAACTTCTCCTTTGTCCTCTGAAGATTCAGTAAAAATCACTGACAAGAGGCAGGTTAATAGGAGAAAAGGCATATAAATTTATTAGTGAGTGCATGGGAGCCTTCAGAATAAAGACCCAAGAAATTGTCCATTGTTATGTTTAGGTTCAAAAAAGTATTCGAAGTTGTATAGAAATAAGACTGGACAAAAATGATATAGTGTAATTCTAATACTGAATAGGAAAACTCAGCAAAGCCTGTCTGTCTAGAAACTTCTTGGCCTCCTTGAGCATGCATTTCTTCCTTCTAGGTATTGGGTTTTCTTTAGAAATGGAGATTTTAGGACCGATAGTCCAATGAAGTAGGTCAAATAATTTTTACAGCCAGTTTTTTACACAGAAAGGTGATAGAGGGAAGATAGAATAATATTTTTAGGTTTTATGGTTGGCTTTAGGGAAAAGGGGTTCTGGTTTCTATGAGTCAGCTTTTGGAAGAGGGATTCTAGTTTCTATGGTTAGCCTCAAGGGAGAATGAAGCTGAGAGACAGGAAGGCAGGAGGTCAGAGAAAAACTTTTGCTTCTGAGGCTGCTTCTAGGTGAGGCCTTCATTTTGGGATGTTATTTTCTGAGTCCCAACTCTGGTTGGGACTAGACCTTTAGGATGGCTAAGGGAATAAAAGTAAGCATTATTTCTTCTGGACCCTGTTGTCTCCCTGTTAACTGTTGAAGAAACAGTTAACCCTATGTTAGGTGTTTGCCTAACTGATTTTTAAATTTTTGGTTAGGCCATTGTTACTTTTAACATCTGAACTATTTTTTTGTAGGCTAAATCTCATATTATCTTGCCACCGCTGTTATTCCTGCCATTGTATCCAAAGAATCATGGGTTGCCATGATTTCAACAGAGAAAATTACTTAGACATTGTGGTTGCTAGCTTATTGCCTTGTCATATTCTCTTTTCCCCGCAACTCTGCAATTCCTCCCACAAAAATACAAACTGTACTTCCTTGCCCTTTGAACTGAGCCACAGACTTGCTCTGGTCAAAGGAATGTGGCATAGTGACAATACGCCAGTTCCAAGCTTAGCCATTTGGAGGCCTCTCTTGTTTCCAGTCTGCCTCTGGAGCTCCTATTACTGCCATGAAAACAGCTTCCTCTGGATTCTGGCTTTCCCTTCAGCCTGGGCCCTGACTGAGCGTGCTTGGAGAAGAGCCGCTGTAGCTAACCGGGCCAGCCCTGCAGTGGGTAGTGGAGCTGCCCAGGCAAATCCAGCCTACATGAGCAGCTCCAACACACTCAGATGTGAGAGAAATTAATGCTTACGGTTAAATCACTCTAAGATTATGGGGCTGCTTGTTACATAACAAAATTTTGGCAGTAGTTGGCTGAGTCACTAGAAGTGGCCTTTTAGTAAGGAATTGATTAGAAGTGGTATGGTGGTGATCCAAATGAACGTATTTTCTTCCTGATATAATCTTGCCAGTTTTTCTCTCTGTTCAAATCATGAAACTTAAAACCCCTATATGACAGGAATAGAAAGGCAATTTATGGTTCAGTCTATAAAAGACCATAAAAATGATAAAAAAAATCAATCTAGATTTAAAACTAAATTAACCAAATATGTAATAGCTCTTTTAACTATTTAATTTTATTTTCATTTCTTTCTTCTTTTCTGGGTAGTATTTCTAATACTATTGTGATAGTATTTCTACTATCACAATATTTTAAAGAGAAATGTCCAGATTTAAACAGAGAGGGCCACTGAAATCTAGTAATTACAGAGGGCTTTATAGCTTACATATTTATGCTCTTCAGTTTTATCCAATCAAAATAAAAATGCATCTTCTTGGGCAAGTTCATTAGCAAGTAAGTAGAATTTCTCTCTGAATAGTAAATGCACCCAGTTTACTACAATGATGCAATGAAGTAGTAAAATAACTTCAAATAATAATTAGTACAGTGAAGACAAATGAACTGAGTGCTCAAGAAGAGAATATAAAATCTAAACTTAAAATTTAGATTGAGTGATTAATCTATGAAGAATTGGCATTTAAACTGAGACTTGAAGACTATAAAAGAATTGACCAGATGGAGAAGTTTTCCAGGCAGTGGGGAAGTTGTGTGAAAAGTCCCTGAAGCAAGAGACTTGGTGCTACCTCTTTGAAATTTTGGACAGAATTCCTTCATACTTACATTTGACTATTAAGTCATGGTACCATATATTTTTATTCTCTCTTAATGTATAAGTCTGTTTTCAGAGCTGCTTGAGGACAAGTACTTTTTTAGAGCCATTTTAGCCATCCATCACAAAACTATCCTGCATTCCAAACATCACAAACTAAAATGCCTGCAGAGTTCAGGCTGGAGGAAAGTTGATAAAGAATAAGCATTTTACTCTTAACTTGGAGGAGGTGATTTTTGTTTGCTCGCTGAATTGATCAAGCTTTAGTCAGGAAAACAGAAGTCATTCTATATACTCTGAGTATAATACAATTGCTCTGAACGGCATACCTGATCAAAACCTGCCCAAATATCTATCTCCTCCATCTGGAACCATTCCTCTTCTTCCTGCTAAATCTGATGCTGATGCCTCTCAATAGAACAGAATCTTTATTTATACAAAAAAGTAGATTCTAGGAAAATGTAGGTCCCAACTTCTCTTTTCCATTTGGCATTTATAGTTACTCTTTTAGCCATATTTAAGCTTCTAAATTGCAGTGATAAAAACAATATTCTGATTCTATTTAGCATGATGTGACTATTCCTTAATCAACCCAAAATATGCCTCTCACTCTTCTGAAAAATTAAAGATGTAGATTCCACAATGTCACTATGTATTTATCTTTGGGTAATGTTCTTTTTTCTATCTCAGTTGTAATTTCCCATTGATATCTTGTAATTTAAATATTAAATTCATAGCATAGTCACTGTTAACATTTACAACACACCTTATACAAGATAGTATGGGTAGGAGAAAGAGGGAAAACGATTGATATAAAAATGTGCATATAACCAAACAAGCAAGAAAAATCCCCCCAAATTCTCACCATAATCCTCATTTATACAAATGGTAACATGCCATAATTTCTTCCTCCATTGCCCACTCAATATTGCCTTTGCCTTAGCTAGTAACTCAATTGATTGAGGTTCCTTACTTTATATGGTGACCCAAACCATCATTCAAAAAGTACAGTCATGTATCTATGTGCCACAAAATGATGTATCAGTCAATAGTGGACTGCATACATATGTTATGGCAATTTCATAAGATAATAATGTATTTTTACCATGCCTTTTCTATGTTTAGATATGTTTAGATATATAAATACTTACCATTGTGTTATAATCACCTACATTATTCAGTACAGTAACATGTTGTACAGGTTTATAGCCTAGGAGCAATAGGCTATGCTATATAGCCTAGGTGTGTAGTAGGCTATACGATCTAGGTTTGTGTAAGTACACTCTATGATGTTCACAAAATGATGAAATCACCTAATGATGCATTTCTCAGAATGTATTCCCATCATTAAGCAACGTGTGACTCTATTAGTGTTCCTGCCAAAAAAATGGGTTCTTGAATTAAATGTTCTATTAAATCCTCCATTGAATGTTACTATTGGAAATAACAATATCATGAAATTTCTTGAGGGGACCCCCGAGTTCTAGACCATCTCCTCCATTTTGTGGATAACTAGGATCAATCATTCAAATCATAACAGTAATCCAATACTTTGTTAGTTTAGTGGCAGAAAGAACCAATGACAGGGTGGCAATCTTAGCTGCCAATTCAGTGGAACAATTATTGTGTCTCCTGATGGAAGCATCACTGTTACTAAGTCCTTTAAACAAAGAAGACACAAAGTTCTGGGAACAGGAAGAAAAAATATTATGACCGTGTTATTATGGGAAGTAAAGAAGTCACTCCCATTTCCACACTTTTCTTCCCAGATCCTGTGTATTCTGATATGGGAGAAATGGTACCATATGCACATTAGTCAGAAGTTTAGAAAATATACCTCATCTTGTAGTACAATACTTCAGCTCAGGTTGTTGCCCAAGTGTTGCCATAACCGAGCCTTCAGTTCACCATTTCACCTGCTTCTACTAGGCAATTGTTTTAGATCTGATAGAGTCCATGAATGAATTCCAGGGGTGCGAGCGCACATTATCTCACTTCTTTTGTTGTATTTAACAACATTTAGAGTACTAAATGAGTACCAATGTACTCATTTTGAGTACATTGGTCAAAAGCATTGTTGTGTGGAATGCCTTGATTGTAAAAAAAAAAAAGTGTTCAGTAAGTGTTTGCTATATCATTTAGGACAGAGAAAGTAAATCTATAAACAGAATAAGAATTTATTTTAGTAAGGACTAATTACTGCTATTTCCATGATTGAAAAGGTCCGATGTAATTGGCTCATCTTCAGGTGGCTGGCTTTCCTCTGCCCTGGGGAATATGCTGTGTCAGGGATTCAGCCTTGGCTTCTGCTATTGGCAGGTTGGTGATGCAACTGTGGTGGTAGCTGGAACATTCTTATCAAAGTTTGTTTGCTAATCCCATTATTAAACCTCCATCTCTGCTACCACAATTACTTTTGTGGGGGAGAAAGGAAAACTTCTCTTTGTTCCCTGAAGTTTCTCTGAAAGATCAACTCACAATAAGAGAAAGGGAACACAAATTTATCTACTGTGTGCACGGGGAAAATCACAGAGTAATTACCCAATAGACTAGTGGGATCCAGAAGTTTATATACCCCCATGTCCGAGGAGAGGGGAGGAGGAGGATTATAGGTAAATCTATTTAGGGGCAATAAATGGTTACTAGGGAGGATGAATAAATACTTAGGAGAATGAATGGATGGGGGGAAACAAATTGGCTTGTAAATGATTCTCTTTGCAAATTTCTTTCTCTTTTTCAATTCCTTCCACCACAAACTGATCTATATCTATACCTTTGGCCATATCTCCTTTCATATAATGTGAATGATCAGATTCATGGCACAAATTCTGCCCATCTGATGGAATTTCCTTCTTCACATCTCATCAGGCACTTCCCCCAAGTGAAGCTTTTATTGTGCAATTATCTACTTTTATGTTGTATAAACATGTCATTTACAACTATCTGTAAAGTAGGTAATTTTTTTCCTTTCACATTCAGATAGTGATAGGGAACTTTTGATGAAGCCATAGGTGTGGGTTGATGGCAATATGTTAATGTAGTAAAAGTATGTGTCATGGAAGACCAAGCCACTTCTTCATAAAAGTAATTTATGTCTTTATGTCCAATTTGAACCAAATTACACACACACACACACACACACACACACACACACACACAGAGTTGACCCTTGGACACCACAGGGTTTAAGGGCACCAACCCCCTGAGCAGTTGAAAATCTACATCTAACTTTTGGCTCCACAAAAACTTAACTATTAATAGCCTACTGTTGACTGGAAGCCTTCCCAATACATAAACAGATGATTAATACATATTTTATATGTTTTATGTATTATATACTATATTTTTACAATAAAGTAAGCTAGAGGAAATATCATTAATAAAATCATAAGGGAGAGAAAATATATTTAGCATTCATTAAGTGGAAATGAATCATCATAAATGTCTTCATCCTCATTGTCTTCCCATTGAGTAGGCTGAGGAGGAGGAAGAGGAAGGTTGGCCTTGCTGTCTCAGGAGTGGTAGAAGCAGAAGAGGTGGAAGACATGGAATGGGAGGCAGGAGAGGCAGGCATACTTGATGTAAGTTTATGTAAATATGTTGTAATTTAATTTTTTTGCTTTTTCATTTTTCTAAAAATTTTTCTATATGGTACCAATCCTTCTTCTGCCATTTGTTTTAATTTCAATACCCATAACACATAAGGGTCCATGTTGTAAAAAAAGTCACAAGTAGTCTTTAATAACTGAAACTCTGCTGTCAAACCCTACTGTCAACTTGTTTTCTGGCACTGTTTCTTCTATGCCTTATTCCTCATCATTTAGCACTGATTCAGAAGCACTCACCTTTGTCAGCTCACCTTGTATTAATTCCTATGGTGTGGTGTCTGTTAGCTCTTGAATTTCTTCAAGATCCATATCTTGAAACTCTTCATCTCCCTCTTCTCCACCTTTATTTGCCATATCCACAATCTCTTTCATGATTTCCTTGATTGGCTCTGTCATCAACCCTGTGATTTCATGTACAACATCTAGACAAGAGTTTTCTCCAGTAGGAATTTATTACTCCAGGGATTGATGGCTTTCATGGTTTTTTCCTATAATAATTATGGCATCTTCAGTAATGTAATCCTTCCAGACTTTCATGATGTTGTCTCTATCAGGGTTCTCTTCCATAGCATTGACAATCCTTTCCATAGAATACCATATATAATGAGCCTTGAAGATCCTTATGATTCTTAGAAAAAGAAACTTAAACCCAAATGCATTTTCACAAAACAGTAAAGTTAGCCTATCCCTTCCACTTATATTTGTGGCTTTTTTTTTTTTTTTTTTGCAGACTAGTGCACTTTTATCTGCATTAAAGACCTGTTCAGGCAGACATCCTTGCTCCTTTCTCCTCAATGATTTTCTTAATGGTGTCTGGGAACTCATCCGCTGCCTCTTGGTCAGCAGATTTCCTGTTATGTTGCCCTTTTTTAAAGCCTAACCTCTTTATAAAATTATCAAACCATCCTTTGCTGGTATTCACCTTCCTCCTTCCTTTTTTTTTAGGTTGTCATATAATGACTTTGCATTTTCTTGAATCACATTAGAGTCTATAAATAATGCCTTTCATGCCCCCATATAAAAGCTGCTTTTCCGATATGAGATACTGGTATAGTTGCAGTGATGTCTTTGTGAATTTTCATTTTTTAAATAATGGTCCTTATGCTGAATTCATTTAACTTGAAATGGTGGGCAACTGCAGCAATAGAACTCAATCTATGGTACATATCAAACAATTCAATGTTTTTGGGGGAATGTCATGAGTTTCCTTCTTAGGAGCACTTCTATCATCATTAGTAGTACTTCATATGGGTCCCCTAGTGTTACTTAAGGTTTACAGTATTGTACTAACCATGATGAAAAACATGTAAGAACCATGAGAGGTCACTTTTAACTGTGATATGCAATTTTCTGGAGAGATGAACTACTCACATGGAGATGATTAGCATCACATTGTGTTTTAAGTAGATACTGGCAACATTTGAGCTCACTGTGATAGCAATGGGAGGTGGCTATAAAATTATTATAGTAGTGCAGTATGTACTACAGTGAATTTTATGCAGTTATGATTTAATGCTGCATCTTTACATTTGTTTACATTTCTCTGGACTGCAAATGGTACTGTGTGTGGTCTGTGTGCATAAGCTTTGATAAACTAAAACTTTTTATAATAGATTTTTGTATGTTTCTTGTAGTAAATAGACTAGTAGCTACATATGTTTTATGCATTTATGACATATATAGCTTTTTCTTAATTTGTCAATATTTCTAAGCTATTCAGTTCATCTGTATTTTCAAATTGTTGCAAATCTTCAAAAAATTATCCAATATATTTATTAAAATAAATCTGCATGTAAGTGAATCCATGCATTCAAACCTATGTTGCTAAAGGGTCAACTATACACACACACACACACACACACACACACACACACACACACACACACACACACACATATATATACCACTTCCACTTGATGACTGAATGCTATTGTGCATGCCCTAATTTAAGGCTTAGATGCTTACATTTATCCACTAAATTATAAGCAGTTCAGGTTGAATGTGTATCATTTTTCATTCAATCCACGTGAGGGTTTAGTAGCAGGCCAGAAACTGTTTCTCAAAAGCAGAATATTTTTCTGCATAGGAGAAGATAACTTTGCTCCAAAACTCTAGAAGACTGACTTGTGCTGTGACTTTGTTAGGACTTACCAAAAGTTCCATACAGCATTCACACACAAGTACCAGGGATAAGGAACTTCAAGCACTATTGATTTAATTGGGTGATATTGACCTAATGAAAGACTGTAACAACCACCTAGACTGGTTTCAATGCCTTGGTCTAGCCTGGGACCCACTCAACACTGACCTCAGTTTAAACCACAGGATTATAAATTATTTTATAAAAGGGTTGAAGCAACATATTCGAATATAACATATACTGCCTTTAGAACTGTGGTCTCCAACCCCTGGGCCACAGACTAGTACCAGTCTGTGACCTATTAGGAATCAGGCCAAACAGCAGGAGGTGAGCAGCTGGTAAGTGAGTAAAGCTTCATCTGTATTTACAGCTGTTCCCCATTGCTCTCATCACTGCATAAGCTCCACCTCCTGTCAGATCAGTGGTGGCATTGGATTCTCATAGGACACAGACTCTACTGCAAACTGCATATGTGAGGGATCTAGGTTGCGTGCTCCTTATGAGAATCTAATGCCTGCTGACCTGAGGTGGAGCTGAGGCAGTGATGCTAGTATTGGGGAATGGCTCAAAATATAGATTATCATTAGCAGAGAGGTTTGCACAGTAAATGTAATGAGGTTGAATTATCCAGAAACCATCCCTCTACAACCGGTCCATGGAAAAATTATCTTCTGTGAAACCAGGCCCTGGTGCCAAAAAGGTTGGGGACCATTGCTTTAGAACACAAGAAGACCCATAGGTGTTGTACCTTTGCTTAGTGATAGATGATATAAAATGAAATAATTTTTATTTAATTTTTGAGAAAACATGGACAAGCCCCAGTTCAACAGACTACTAGAAACTTACTAAATTGTCAATCTTGGAATTTTCATGGGTTTTCTTTCTCACATTCTGATATATGATTGTAGAAATAAAGCAATTACATAATTGTTACCTGTTGATGACTAGGTACAAATAGCATTATGTCATCATGTCATGTACCACAGTGATGTTCTGTGTGATGGCATGGTGATAACAATCTCTGTGGACTAATTGATCCAAAGTTGACATAGTCTTTAGGGAACATAGTAAAAGTGTAGTGTTGTTCCTGCTAGGTCAACTCAAATGGCTTGTGGTGTTTTTTTATTAATAATATGAAGAAAATATCAGTAACTACACACTAAATTTCCAGGGCTATGTTTATTTGATGCAGTAAAGAGACCTCATCTAGAGCAGGAGATATAACTATAGTCATCATCTAATTATTTTTACAACAATTCATTGTTTTCCTCCAGGATCTTTTTGTATAGGCCAAATAAGAGAGTTAAATAGGGATGTCACAGAAATCATTATCTCTAACTCTTCAAATTTTAGGTGATTACACTAATATCAGAAATTCTATCAGTACTTAGGTAAAGCTTATGATTTTTTAAGGAAAAGGGAGTTCCAAGGGCCTCCACCTGGCACTATCATGATAAACCTTACTCAAGCAGCCTGTTCTGCTAGTTACTTCATGTGTATTTTTTTCTAACTATCCTTTCAGCATAAAGAGAAATAATCTGATGGATCCATTGGTCCACTGTGAGATAGATCCAGGGAAAACTACACTTTTAATTTCATGTTCCTAGAACCTCACTTTTAGAAGTGGACTTTAGTGGCATTGGGGTATATTGGATTAGATTAGAGCCAGTATCTAGCAGTCTAAGAAAAAATAGATATTTTCCTTTCCTCAAATACTTAGGCCCCTTTAATTGGCTGCAGATCCAGTTAGAGTAAGCTAGCTTGAATATTCACAATACTTACCTTGAAAATATCACAATATTTACCTTGAAAATATCACAATATTCTACAAAAAAGGGCTGCAATGTCCCCTTCATTAAATGGGCTTGGGTTCTGGGAATTGTTTCAGTTTTGAGAATTGGGAAATGGTTCATAACTCTTTATTATGTCATTTAAGTTCTACAAGTTTTTGTTCTTCTGTTTGCTTATATAGATAAAGACAACTGTAATAATAAACTTTTGGTCAATCTTAATCCTAAAAACATCATGCTCAATCTGCCCACAGAAGATATTTGAGTCAAGCGTTTCTAAGTATTGTTTTGATATTGCTGCCCATTAGGTTAACAATGCCTTCTTGTTTCTGGAGATTAATTGCTACCATATGGCCTCAGCCTCTCTCTGACCATATAAAATCCTCATTTAAATCAATTCATCCACTTCAATGCCAGCTTTCCCACTATCAGGCCTGTCCTGAAAAACAGAACTACTATTAATATAATAGTTTACAAACACTCTGTCCCTTTGCCAATGTATTTCTAAATGTCTTGGTGAAGGTAGAGTTCCCTTAGTCCTCCAGGAGGACATAGAGAGTTGGTAAGTGGTCTTCTCATGGTAAGTCAATTCTAACATTCTTTTTCCAAAACCTTTATTTTTTTTTTTTATCCACAGTACATGAAAGTATTTATGCAACATTCATTTCACTTCATGAAGTACCATTGATTCCATGTTTTAGATAATCAGTCAAGCAAAATATTAGAGACACTCCTAGCTGCTCAAATTAAGGCACTGAGTCAAGTATCTCTGGTCAATGCACTAGTATTAACCTAAACCAAGCCCTTATTTTCCTCCATTTCTAGTTTAACACCTTTGGAATATATTTCTATACATTGCCAAGGTTTCTTCCTCGTTCTCTTTCTCTCTCTCTCTCTCTCTTTGTCTCTCTCCTTCTCTCTCTCTCTCTATATATATGTGTGTGTGTGTGTGTGTGTATCCATAAAACATACATTTTATGTTTCTTTTTTTTTTCCTATAGTGTGTCTGCTAACTCTTTCTAGATCAGTCTCTTTTTATGCAT